CCTTCTTCTGGTCTCTCTGCAGTGCAGCGCCGACACCAGACACTTGTCCTGTGGCTGTGAAGAGACTGTCCCATCGCACCCTTCCCGTGGCTGGATGTTCTGTTAGACCCTCGCCTTTCGTCTTTAGGGTACAGCAGCATCAGACGCCTCTCCCAGGACGCTCCTGGTAGGGGACGAACGATTCGGGTAGCGTGAGAGGAGAGAGGGTGCAGAGATGGATGACATCTTCACTCAGTGCCGTGAAGGCAACGCGGTAGCAGTCCGCCTCTGGTTGGACAACACAGAGAACGACCTAAACCAGGGGTGAGTGTGTTTAAATGAGACCTAATATGAATTTAGACAGAGCTGTTATTAGGTAGATTTGTGGTTTTGTACAGTCTTGGTTTTGCAGTTATCTTATTTTCTCTATATTCAAAGATGATCTTGGATGCTGTCGGTAGGGGCCACGCCCCCCCAAAAAACTTTGGGAAATACAAAATGTATTGTGAAGAAACTGTCCTGTTTGTGAGGAACTTCTGTCAGGTCTTGTCCTTTAGTTCACCCCTCACTTTAATCAGTCTTCTAATCCCTGGGCGCAGTGGAGCAGTGACTCTGAAAGACGATGAGGGTAGATTTTTATCACTTTTCGTCTGTGTTGTGGATTTCATTCAGTTATTTGGCTTGTCGTGGCATACACAGCTTTTCAGATCGTTTTGAGGCATTAATACTATTCAGTATTAAATTCTTATTCTTGTATAATTCTACTAGTACTAGTTTGTTTTTGATACCAGAAAAACAAGATATAATACCCATACAAAACATACCACCATATTGCTAAAATGTAAGTGTAATGCTAAGTGTATTTCTTAGACGTTTTAGGATTCTAATTTAATGACTCTAAGGAATGTCATGTGGTATTTTCTTTAAAACAGAATACATGTGAATATACACATTTTAATCAGTACTTTCAAAAAAGAAAGGTAAAAAGTTATTATTATTATTATTTTACAAATATAATAAATTAGTAATTCATAAATATAATTTATAAAGTTTTTTTTAAATTAAGAAGCAGTGTATTGCAGTCCTTGTGTGCACAAATTGCAATAACATTTATTTGAATAAATGAATAGGTAAAACTAAAATTGAGCATCATGTCATTGAACTTTTCATTTCTGGTCAACTGTTCCTTGAAACGGCTTGTTATTTTAAATTTTAGTCTTTCTTCCCTAGTGACTTGAACTGTGACAGAGTGTTTTGTGCAAGCAGTGTTCAAAACAGCTCATCTGAGCTTCCTTCTTCTGGTCTCTCTGCAGTGCAGCGCCGACACCAGACACTTGCCCTGTGGCTGTGAAGAGACTGTCCCATCGCACCCTTCCCGTGGCTGGATGTTCTGTTAGACCCTCGCCTTTCGTCTTTAGGGTACAGCAGCATCAGACGCCTCTCCCAGGACGCTCCTGGTAGGGGACGAACGATTCGGGTAGCGTGAGAGGAGAGAGGGTGCAGAGATGGATGACATCTTCACTCAGTGCCGTGAAGGCAACGCGGTAGCAGTCCGCCTCTGGTTGGACAACACAGAGAACGACCTAAACCAGGGGTGAGTGTGTTTAAATGAGACCTAATATGAATTTAGACAGAGCTGTTATTAGGTAGATTTGTGGTTTTGTACAGTCTTGGTTTAGCAGTTATCTTATTTTCTCTATATTCAAAGATGATCTTGGATGCTGTCGGTAGGGGCCACACCCCCCCAAAAAAACTTTGGGAAATTAGGATCTGCAAGGAGGAATGGCAGAGGATCCCCTGAAAAACTTGTTGCATCTTTCCCTAAAAGACTCATGGCTGTATTAGATCAAAAGGGTGCTTCTACTAAATACTGAGCAAAGGGTCTGAATACTTAGGACCATGTGATATTTCAGTTTTTCTTTTTTAATAAATCTGCAAAAATGTCAACAATTCTGTGTTTTTGTGTCAATATGGGGTGCTGTGTGTACATTAATGAGGAAAAAAAAATTGACTTAAATGATTTTAGCAAATGGCTGCAATATAACAAAGAGTGAAAAATTTAAGGGGGTCTGAATACTTTCCGTACCCACTGTATATATTGAGTATCCACAACTTAAAATAGGATGCTAATGTGTTCAATTCAATGATTCCATTATTGTAACATCAGATATGTTAATTAATTGGATATATGGCTACCATATCAGTTATCAGCCAGTGTTAGAGATTTTTTATTTATTTATCAGTATTGTCGATTTTGGATATTTATGTGTGAATGCCAATTTCCCCTATTTTTTACAAATCTTACTCTCATTTAAAGTTAGTTTTTTAAAAGTGCTAATAATTTAATAAAAACAAATACACTCTTAAATCTAACCATTAGCAAATCTCAGTATGAAATATGAATATCCATTTTTCATACTGTACATTATAATAAGATGCCTAAATTCACTTGCAGCATTTAAAATTTAGTTTAAAATTTTTGTTTTGTTTGAAATTTAATATATTTAAAATTTAGTTTAGTTTTTTAAATAAAATCCAGTGGTTTAGATTTTAGTTTTTAATGTTTTATGTATAATATTTAGACAAAATAGCATAGAAATTCTAAATATTATTGACTTTTCCTTTTGGCTTCCTTTTTAATATTGTGCAGCCCTTCTGTGAAACAATGAGACCTAATATGAATTTAGACAGAGCTGTTATTAGGTAGATTTGTGGTTTTGTACAGTCTTGGTTTAGCAGTTATCTTATTTTCTCTATATTCAAAGATGATCTTGGATGCTGTCGGTAGGGGCCACACCCCCCCAAAAAAACTTTGGGAAATTCAAAATGTATTGTGAAGAAACTGTCCTGTTTGTGAGGAACTTCTGTCAGGTCTTGTCCTTTAGTTCACCCCTCACTTTAATCAGTCTTCTAATCCCTGGGCGCAGTGGAGCAGTGACTCTGAAAGACGATGAGGGTAGATTTTTATCACTTTTCGTCTGTGTTGTGGATTTCATTCAGTTATTTGGCTTGTCGTGGCATACACAGCTTTTCAGATCATTTTGAGGCATTAATAATATTCAGTATTAAATTCTTATTCTTGTATAATTCTACTAGTACTAGTTTGTTTTTGATACCAGAAACAAGATATTTTACCCATACAAAACATACCACCATATTGCTAAAATGTAAGTGTAATGCTAAGTGTATTTCTTAATTAAATTTATTTTTTATTAACTTTCTCAGACGTTTTAGGAAATGTACATATATATTGAGTATCCACAACTTAAAATAGATGCTAATGTGTTCAATTCAATGATTGCATTATTGTAACATCAGATATGTTAATTAATTGGATATATGGCTACCATATCAGTTATCAGCCAATGTTAGAGATTTTTTTATTTATTTATCAGTATTGTCGATATTGGATATTTGTGTGAATGCCAATTTCCCCTATTTTTACAAATCTTACTCTCATTTAAAGTTAGTTTTTTAAAAGCACTAATAATTTAATAAAAACAAATACACTCTTAAATCTAACCATTAGCAAATCTCAGTATGAAATATGAATATCCATTTTTCATACTGTACATTATAATAAGATGCCTAAATTCACTTGCAGCATTTAAAATTGTTTAGTTTTTTAAATAAAATCCAATGGTTTAGATTTTAGTTTTTAATGTTTTATGTATAATATTTAGACAAAATAGCATAGAAATTCTAAATATTATTGACTTTTCCTTTTGGTTTCCTTTTTAATATTGTGCAGCCCTTCTGTGAAATTGAATGTTGTTAGACTAGGTTTAAAGAAATAAGACCTGAAATATCCCATCTGTTTCTTACAAACGAAACGGAAAACATTCCACACGTTGAAGACCAGAATTCCAGTTCTAGCCCGATATGGTGCAAAGCATACGCAGAGTCGATCCATCCACCCTCTTCAAATACCTCCACCTCTGCCAAGCTCCCTCTCACAAACAGCCTTGGCCCGCCTTTCTTCACTAATACATCCCAGAACAGCTGGTAAGCACAAAAGAGAGCAAAACGTCCAGGTAGATCTCCAAGAACTTGTAAGGAATCTGATCTGGACCCGTTCTCAGTTGCTGTCAGCCACAAGAATTATAACCTGAAAGGAAGGGGTCAGAGACAAATGGTTCACCGGTGCTGATTCAGCACAGAATCAGCAGATTGCAGGCAGCGGCCAGTTTAGATGAAGTGTTGAAGCGTCTGATGTAAATCACTATCTAGGCATTTCCTGTGCTCTTCACATGGCTGAAGTTGTGACTTTGAAATTATGTGACAAAGGAAATGTTTGACTTACTTGAGAAACTGCCAGTAAGAGGAGGGGAAAATGCCAACTCAATTAGCACAAAACCCAAATTTATTTCTATTTATGTTAGCATTCCCTACTCTAAACAGCAGTTGAACCTCTACAGATCTGCCGTTCAGGCCAGTGTGAGTTGGAGTCCATGTCTAATTTGTGACTCAGAAGAGGGGGAGGAGGGAACAGTCTGGGCTAAAACGAAATGGTTGGGATGAATAGTTTCCATTCGATGAGCTCACCAACCAAAGCATACTGACTTGAGCCATACCAGTCCTCCCTCTCCTAATTTAATGACTCTAAGGAATGTCATGTGGTATTTTCTTTAAAACAGAATACATGTGAATATACACATTTTAATCAGTACTTTCAAAAAAGAAAGGTAAAAAGTTATTATTATTATTATTTTACAAATATAATAAATTAGTAATTCATAAATATAATTTATAAAGTTTTTTTTAAATTAAGAAGCAGTGTATTGCAGTCCTTGTGTGCACAAATTGCAATAACATTTATTTGAATAAATGAATAGGTAAAACTAAAATTGAGCATCATGTCATTGAACTTTTCATTTCTGGTCAACTGTTCCTTGAAACGGCTTGTTATTTTAAATTTGAGTCTTTCTTCCCTAGTGACTTGAACTGTGACAGAGTGTTTTGTGCAAGCAGTGTTCAAAACAGCTCATCTGAGCTTCCTTCTTCTGGTCTCTCTGCAGTGCAGCGCCGACACCAGACACTTGCCCTGTGGCTGTGAAGAGACTGTCCCATCGCACCCTTCCCGTGGCTGGATGTTCTGTTAGACCCTCGCCTTTCGTCTTTAGGGTACAGCAGCATCAGACGCCTCTCCCAGGACGCTCCTGGTAGGGGACGAACGATTCGGGTAGCGTGAGAGGAGAGAGGGTGCAGAGATGGATGACATCTTCACTCAGTGCCGTGAAGGCAACGCGGTAGCAGTCCGCCTCTGGTTGGACAACACAGAGAACGACCTAAACCAGGGGTGAGTGTGTTTAAATGAGACCTAATATGAATTTAGACAGAGCTGTTATTAGGTAGATTTGTGGTTTTGTACAGTCTTGGTTTAGCAGTTATCTTATTTTCTCTATATTCAAAGATGATCTTGGATGCTGTCGGTAGGGGCCACACCCCCCCAAAAAAACTTTGGGAAATTCAAAATGTATTGTGAAGAAACTGTCCTGTTTGTGAGGAACTTCTGTCAGGTCTTGTCCTTTAGTTCACCCCTCACTTTAATCAGTCTTCTAATCCCTGGGCGCAGTGGAGCAGTGACTCTGAAAGACGATGAGGGTAGATTTTTATCACTTTTCGTCTGTGTTGTGGATTTCATTCAGTTATTTGGCTTGTCGTGGCATACACAGCTTTTCAGATCATTTTGAGGCATTAATAATATTCAGTATTAAATTCTTATTCTTGTATAATTCTACTAGTACTAGTTTGTTTTTGATACCAGAAACAAGATATTTTACCCATACAAAACATACCACCATATTGCTAAAATGTAAGTGTAATGCTAAGTGTATTTCTTAATTAAATTTATTTTTTATTAACTTTCTCAGACGTTTTAGGAAATGTACATATATATTGAGTATCCACAACTTAAAATAGGATGCTAATGTGTTCAATTCAATGATTCCATTATTGTAACATCAGATATGTTAATTAATTGGATATATGGCTACCATATCAGTTATCAGCCAGTGTTAGAGATTTTTTATTTATTTATCAGTATTGTCGATTTTGGATATTTATGTGTGAATGCCAATTTCCCCTATTTTTACAAATCTTACTCTCATTTAAAGTTAGTTTTTTAAAAGCACTAATAATTTAATAAAAACAAATACACTCTTAAATCTAACCATTAGCAAATCTCAGTATGAAATATGAATATCCATTTTTCATACTGTACATTATAATAAGATGCCTAAATTCACTTGCAGCATTTAAAATTGTTTAGTTTTTTAAATAAAATCCAATGGTTTAGATTTTAGTTTTTAATGTTTTATGTATAATATTTAGACAAAATAGCATAGAAATTCTAAATATTATTGACTTTTCCTTTTGGTTTCCTTTTTAATATTGTGCAGCCCTTCTGTGAAATTGAATGTTGTTAGACTAGGTTTAAAGAAATAAGACCTGAAATATCCCATCTGTTTCTTACAAACGAAACGGAAAACATTCCACACGTTGAAGACCAGAATTCCAGTTCTAGCCCGATATGGTGCAAAGCATACGCAGAGTCGATCCATGCACCCTCTTCAAATACCGCCACCTCTGCCAAGCTCCCTCTCACAAACAGCCTTGGCCCGCCTTTCTTCACTAATACATCCCAGAACAGCTGGGAAGCACAAAAGAGAGCAAAACGTCCAGGTAGATCTCCAAGAACTTGTAAGGAATCTGATCTGGACCCGTTCTCAATTGCTGTCAGCCACAAGAATTATGGTAGATTTGTGGTTTTGTACAGTCTTGGTTTAGCAGTTATCTTATTTTCTCTATATTCAAAGATGATCTTGGATGCTGTCGGTAGGGGCCACACCCCCCCAAAAAAACTTTGGGAAATTCAAAATGTATTGTGAAGAAACTGTCCTGTTTGTGAGGAACTTCTGTCAGGTCTTGTCCTTTAGTTCACCCCTCACTTTAATCAGTCTTCTAATCCCTGGGCGCAGTGGAGCAGTGACTCTGAAAGACGATGAGGGTAGATTTTTATCACTTTTCGTCTGTGTTGTGGATTTCATTCAGTTATTTGGCTTGTCGTGGCATACACAGCTTTTCAGATCATTTTGAGGCATTAATAATATTCAGTATTAAATTCTTATTCTTGTATAATTCTACTAGTACTAGTTTGTTTTTGATACCAGAAACAAGATATTTTACCCATACAAAACATACCACCATATTGCTAAAATGTAAGTGTAATGCTAAGTGTATTTCTTAATTAAATTTATTTTTTATTAACTTTCTCAGACGTTTTAGGAAATGTACATATATATTGAGTATCCACAACTTAAAATAGATGCTAATGTGTTCAATTCAATGATTCCATTATTGTAACATCAGATATGTTAATTAATTGGATATATGGCTACCATATCAGTTATCAGCCAGTGTTAGAGATTTTTTATTTATTTATCAGTATTGTCGATTTTGGATATTTATGTGTGAATGCCAATTTCCCCTATTTTTACAAATCTTACTCTCATTTAAAGTTAGTTTTTTAAAAGCACTAATAATTTAATAAAAACAAATACACTCTTAAATCTAACCATTAGCAAATCTCAGTATGAAATATGAATATCCATTTTTCATACTGTACATTATAATAAGATGCCTAAATTCACTTGCAGCATTTAAAATTGTTTAGTTTTTTAAATAAAATCCAATGGTTTAGATTTTAGTTTTTAATGTTTTATGTATAATATTTAGACAAAATAGCATAGAAATTCTAAATATTATTGACTTTTCCTTTTGGTTTCCTTTTTAATATTGTGCAGCCCTTCTGTGAAATTGAATGTTGTTAGACTAGGTTTAAAGAAATAAGACCTGAAATATCCCATCTGTTTCTTACAAACGAAACGGAAAACATTCCACACGTTGAAGACCAGAATTCCAGTTCTAGCCCGATATGGTGCAAAGCATACGCAGAGTCGATCCATCCACCCTCTTCAAATACCTCCACCTCTGCCAAGCTCCCTCTCACAAACAGCCTTGGCCCGCCTTTCTTCACTAATACATCCCAGAACAGCTGGTAAGCACAAAAGAGAGCAAAACGTCCAGGTAGATCTCCAAGAACTTGTAAGGAATCTGATCTGGACCCGTTCTCAGTTGCTGTCAGCCACAAGAATTATAACCTGAAAGGAAGGGGTCAGAGACAAATGGTTCACCGGTGCTGATTCAGCACAGAATCAGCAGATTGCAGGCAGCGGCCAGTTTAGATGAAGTGTTGAAGCGTCTGATGTAAATCACTATCTAGGCATTTCCTGTGCTCTTCACATGGCTGAAGTTGTGACTTTGAAATTATGTGACAAAGGAAATGTTTGACTTACTTGAGAAACTGCCAGTAAGAGGAGGGGAAAATGCCAACTCAATTAGCACAAAACCCAAATGTATTTCTATTTATGTTAGCATTCCCTACTCTAAACAGCAGTTGAACCTCTACAGATCTGCCGTTCAGGCCAGTGTGAGTTGGAGTCCATGTCTAATTTGTGACTCAGAAGAGGGGGAGGAGGGAACAGTCTGGGCTAAAACGAAATGGTTGGGATGAATAGTTTCCATTCGATGAGCTCACCAACCAAAGCATACTGACTTGAGCCATACCAGTCCTCCCTCTCTCTCTCTCT